TTAAAGACGCTTATATATGTTAAAGTATTTATTTATTACACCGATTTTCTTATGACCCGCTATCTTACAAAACATTATTTGTTTTGTCACTCTTAAGTTAAAAAGACTCTATTATATTATAAATAAAATTAAAAACTCGTCTTAGTTATAAAAGGTAATTACACCGAACAAAATATTTCACTCAACAAAAAGCACAAATTACTCAGTCTCAATTACACTTATCTCAGAATGGAATATTGTGTTGTTATTAATCTTGTTAGAAACACCGTTGAGTTTATATGTTTGTTAGTTGGTTATAATAATTACTGTTCTATTCTTATTATAATCATGCACAAATTTCTTACACAACAACAACTTAGAACTGCTTTAGAGGAGGTAGTTGAGGAACTGGAACATGTAAATGTAATTTTTACGTGAAAAAAATATTGTTTATATTCCACCAGAAGTGAATTAATTAGCTGATGAGGAAGATATATTAGACCCAGAGGGAATTAGAAATTAATGTACTGGCCACAATAAAGATATTGGCGGCACACTTGAAATCCACACTAGGGAGGAAGATTTACATGATGTAGAAGACGATTTGCGTTTCGTATCGTAATCTCCGACTGAGAAATCCTGACATACAAAAGGAAATCTAAAAGTAAGAAAGAAAAAATGTGAAAATGTGAAAGAGAGTCCAAGGAAAAAAATCAATCTTTACATAAGCAGTTACCTGAAATCAATTAAAAAAACATGTACTAAATCTTTGAAGGCTTTGGAAGGACTGACACCATTAGAACTTTTCTTATCTACTTTTTGGCTTAGATATTATGCAAGACATGATTGTTTAAATGTTCTTCAGAACATGCTCATGGCAATAACAGACATCATTTTAGTCTTACTAGAAAATACTTTCTCAACTTTATTGGAATTTTAATTTTATTGAGATACCACACTTTACCCTAAGCCCTCATGTATTGGTCACTTGACGAAGAAAAAAGTGTAAAGGTTATAAAAGACTGCATGAGCTGTAAAAAATTTACCTCCATAAAACTTAATTTGTATTTAGTGGACGCGATAGTGGACAGCTTGATACACGCGATAACTTTTGTAAATTGCTCCCATTTTTTGACAAAACCAATGAGAAATTCATGCAATTTGGTGTGTTCCCAATAACATATCTATAGATGACGAAATGGTTCCATACATTGGACAGCACTGGTGTAAGACATTTATAAAAGGCAAGCCAGTAAGGTTCGGTTTTAATCTTCTGTGTATTTGTTCAAGTGAAGGATATATGTACAAGTTTGTGTCCTATCAAGCTGCATCTGCTGAGCCAGTCAAAAAATAAACATTGAGTCCTAGAGTTTTTCTGGATTTATTATTAATTATTAAAAATAAGAGTACTACCGGATAACGGTTGTAGGTAAAAAAATGATGATGACCCTTATTTAAATTTTTATTTTGACAATATGATTGTAAATTTGTGGAAAATATATAATAAAGCAAATGATGATAAAATGTCACAAATAGACTTTAGATCGTACTTAGCTTTGCGACTTTTAAAATTCGAAAATACCAGAGAATTTCAAGCGGCTTCAGTGAATGTACCAAATGAACTTCGCACAGATCATCCGGATCACGTTATTTTTAAACAAATTAATTCTCCACATTCCAAAGCTTCAAAAGCCTTACTGTTAAAATAAAACGCATGATATATTTTGGAAAATACTGTTAAATTATGTTTTTTTTTTGTTGTTGTGAAAATAGTTAGTTACTTGGTGTATGTTGAATAAAAACAGCTTTGAATGGTAAATTTACATATATGCAATGCTAGGCTCTCTGAAATACGCGTTGTTTACGACCTTAACCAAAAAGTAATAATACTTTTTATTTCCTGCTAGAAAATGCTTAGCTCTATAAAAACAATATAATTATCACAAATAGATGATGCGGATGATATCTTCATTGAGCCTCAGAAAGCTAGACATAACAAATGAAAATTCTAGAAATAAGGATAAGAAAAAAATTTAAGAAAATCTAACTAGCCGTCAACTTCGGTCCAAAATAAAAGTTATATTTAAAAGATATGCAGATGGTAATTATAATGAAGCTTCTTCAGATGCTTATAAAAAATTAAGCCTAACCGTAAAATTAACTGGAACGACAATTGTGACTTCGCCACCTTTTGAAAGAAGCAATTTATCTTGAATAACCGCCGGTTACTAGATTTTCCGGCAGAAAACATTTTTTGAACCCCAATTGACTCACAGAATATATGATATCTATTTATTAGAGCTGAAAACGCTGGTACGGGGTTTTAGAATTCTTGAATGGTTATCAGAAATGAATAGAAGCTCTACAAACCACTTTACTGCAGTAAGACTAGTTTAAAACAGGTTTAAATACTTTTAATAAGAATTAAGGTTATCTGTTAGTCTATAAGTCAGCGTGTCTAGCGTAGGATGTGTTAAAAATATAAAAAAAAAATCTAAAAATTTCTTTTTATGTAGATTTGGTGTCCAGGCTCACACGGAGTAAATTTATTTGTAGTTTTATTGAGTCTAACTTTTACCAAATGTATTAAAGACCATGTTACGAGAATTGTCTGAAGTTGTACACTCTTTAGGCATATTTGACAAATTTACCGCTAGCGTAGCATAAGATGGGGTTAATAGTTGGAGTGCTCATCGGAGAAAAAGTTTGTGATGGATGCTCTCCCCAAAATTTAAAAATCGCTTCATTAGACGGGTCTTTCACGCTTTTTCTCTGCGACTTTTGTTAATTCTGTAGAGGTTTTCTTTAATTTTTCCGAAATATTTAGATGTCATGACATACGGAATATGTATCAATACTTTTTTTTTTATTAAATAACTTAAAAGTTCTAAAAAAAAACGCGCAAATAAAATTGCCTCTGAAATTGACTTCCTGTGGTTTTGTTTTTGTAACACAAAGACATTAATTGAAAATACACGTAGAAAACTAAAGATTAATTTATAATATACGTGCGTACACATTATACCCATAAGTTTTGTAATACAACGGCATAAAACTAAGTTTAACAGAGAAAACAAAACGTGAAACTTACCAGAATTTTTGTCATACAATGGCACAATACTGAATATGACAACAAAACAACGGTTTGCAGTCGACGAATACGAATACAGTGGAACCTCGATTATCCGTCTCTCTGTTAACCGTCACCTCTGTTAACCGTCGGGGTCCATACATAAGTTATATTGACAACATAAGTAAAAATTTAGTCATCAAATCATTTTGTTTGCAAAAAAATTTCCACCAAAGACAATTCTCATTTTGGACATGCACCTGTCCATCCTAAAGCCGGTATGCTGCGGAGTGATGATAAAAATATCACGTACTCTTTTCTGCATGCGAATATAATATCATTGATACAGCCAATGGATCATTCGGTTATTAAAACATTCAAAAGAAGATACAGAAAAAAATTTATTCAAAAAGCTAGTTATGGAAGAGTAATATTATTTGCCAGAATACTGGAAACCATGCAATTTAAAACACTCAGTCGACAATGTTTGGGCTGATGTTTCGGAAGTAACGTTGAAAAGAGCGTGAAATAAATTATGATCTGAATCAACTTAAGATTGAAAATGCTTCCCTTAAATGAATCAACTGTTTTGTTTTTCGTTGCATAAAGATGACATAAACGAATGATCAATTTGTGATGAGGACGCAAACGGCTATCGATTGCTGACAGATGATCAAATCGTTGAAATGGCAACAGAGGCGGACAAAACTGATTCAGAAGCTGACAGAGACTTTGATGGTAGCGAGGTTGATGATGCTATTAAAACTCACAAAGATTTGCGTAATGAAGTTATAGGAGCCGCATCGCACATAAAACAATCTATCAAAGGGTATTCTCGTTAAGAATTAGCAAATAAGGTACATTTGATGATTTTACGTCGATTAAGAAATTCAGCCGTTGCAAACTGTGAAGTAACAAACAAAGATTTTGGAATAATTTAAATCAAATTGATTCGACCGTACTAACATAAATCCCTCTTATATTGTCAAATAAAACATACAAATAAAATTTGAGAGTTATACTATGAATTTTTTTTTAATGTTCTGTTAACCGTCTTTTCGATTATCCGTCATACCCTTGGTCCGGTGCCCTGACGGATAATCGAGGTTCCACTGTACGATACTTAATTCGTCGATATAGTAGGATGAGGGGGAGTTGCCCCCCTCTTATTCTCGCGCACTATTTCATCTTTTTCTCTTTCTGTCAAGGCTATTGGATATAGTATTAGGATTTATATCTATATCACACAAAAACTCAAAATTCGATTTTAAAAATTTTTGATTTGTGCCTTTACTTTACTAAGGGTGCGATATGCTATATTACATTTAAAAACAAAAAATGTTTTAAAAAATCTCTTTTTAATAAATTTTTTGATAGTCATCATGATGTCAGACAGAAAAATAAAAAAATAAGGTCCTAAAAATTTAGCTGGTTATCTATCAATTTCGTCACAGTCGTTTTTCCGACTTGTTCAAATCGTCAGAAGCGTTGAGTGACCTATTTTATCATCAGACAAATTTATTTTTATGTTTTTCTTATAATTTTTAAACTATTTAATTAAATAGAATAGTACTATCTTCAAATTTTCGGATGTTTCGGGAAAATTAAAGGACCCAAAACATAAGGACCAAATAAGGCCCATTTAAAGTTTAGGAGACTATCTATAATAGAAATCTTCCCCATGGCTTTATGGTCTATGCCTATTGCTATAAATATACTTAATTGTAGGCGTAAAATAACTATATATCAATAAAACAACTATATTTCTTTTAATCCGTTAAATATTTTTATTAAATAATAATTATCGTGATATAAATAATCAAGTTTATTAAAATAGTGCAGTAATTTTAGCGGAGTGTGTATATTGTTTTTTTTTCAAGAAATATAAATTCTTTGTATCAACGTACATTTTGGGGGTAGCGGCAACGTTGTTAAAAAAGATCTAAGGAAATATAAGTACTACATCTCAACAATCCGAGATTTAGAATACCGTAAACGATACTAGTAAAGATGAAGTATTTATGTTTTATTTTTATATGTGTTATATTAGGTAAGTGCAGTTTTTTTATAAATTATATAGTCCTTTATTATATTTATTACATTACTTTTTCAAAAAAAAATCACCAGCTACATTTTTCAAGGCTCAACACGTTGTACTTAGACATTAACAATGTTTATCAATATCGATTTTTAAAATTAGTTTTCTATAAGAACATTGACTTTTTTTTAGTTTCACTTAATATTTATCACAAATAAACAGTTAAATAGACAAGTAAATATTTATGTATGAATATTAAATATGATAAATAAAAGTTTCTGTAACATAATATAATATTTCTCTTTTTAATTGCTTTCTTTGTTCAGGTGGGATAACAATAATTCACATTTTTAGAGCCTTGCGTTTCATGAAGTAAAACCTTTCCTCTTGTATGGGTTAAATTTCTTATGTCATGAAAGCAAAACAGTGTATTTCTTTTTTGCCATACTCCTCTATCCCTTTAATCTACCCTCCGATTATCGAATCCGATCATATTGGCAATAATAACTTTGTTTACGTCTGCTCTAAATAAATTGGCTGTGGTCTCTTGATACCATTCTCGGAGATTTCGGAGCCAGGATGTTCTTCGTCGGCCGGGGCCTCTCCTTGTGGCGATCTTGTATTATGAGATGTAGAAGGTTATACCTCTCTAGATGTCTCATTACATGACCGATATATTGCAACTTTTAAATTTTTATCTTTTTGTTATTTATGTGCTCTTTTTCATTCGATGTAAAACTATTTCTTTTCTTATTCGATCAACCCAACTTATCCGCAATACTCGTCAATAAATCCACATCTCAAAGGCTTCTAATTGTTTCATTAATGTCTCTGTAAGGGTCCAGCTCTCCATATCATACAGCAATATGGAGAATATGTAGCAGCGTATTAATCTGATTTTAAGGTTTAACGTAATATCTCTATTAATTGGAATTTTCTTTAATTTATAGAAGGCGGCTCTGGCGTTAACATATTCTAACTAGCGTTTTTAGGTTCACATGCGTTATTCAAACTGTTGATGGTGCCTTAGATGACCAAAACGTGATGTTTTTAAATGTTAATAAGTGTTTTGACTTTTTTTAGAAAGGTATGTGTAATACATATATTACCCCTATTTCTGTTTGGAATTTTACATCACCTATTGATAACTTTTGTGAATTACTCTAAATCTTCATCGGATTATTGCCATATCCTCTTTCAAGTTTTTTTTGTCACTTCCGATTTATAATCTTTTGTGTATACAATTTAGTTTCCTCAGTGGAATTAGTTATTTGTCTTTTCCGAGAAGTTTTGATAGCTTTTCTTCTTCTTAAGTTGCCGTACATTTCTGCGTAGGCGTCCACCGTACATCGTCTTGTCAGGTGAGATGTTAAATAGTCAGGATTAAATAATTCTATTTTTAGCAGCATTTCGAAGCATTTCATAGCTGTAGATTCCTGTCCATTGTTGAATATTGCGCAGCCATGACATTTTTTAAGTCCCAGACCTCTCCTACCCTCTATCTGTTCTTCGAGTATCAGTTGCTGAAAAGTGTATCTTTCTCCTTGCCCCAAGTATGCAGTGTTCTTACTTTATACATAACTAAAAAGTTCCCTATCCTGTAAGCCTGCTCTTCTGAGTATTTCCTCATTTCTGACCCTGTTCGTCAATGATATTTTAAGTATTCTACGCAGGCACCATATTTCAAACACTTCAAGATTGTTAATGGAAGTGGCCTTTAACCTTCATGCTTCCATTCCGTCCACACGTAACACTTAAGCATCTTGTACCGGAGGTTGAAGTCCAATTTGCGATCAGTCAGAAACTTAGGAAGCCTCAAAAAAGCATTTCTGGCTTGTTTAACCCTGCCCCTTATTTCATTTCTCGGGGTCCCAACCCTCGTTCAGTAAACAACCCAAGTATTTAAATTGCCTGACCTGTTCGATTTCTTCTCCATAGACATATATCTTTGCGTTGGGGTAATCATTTCTACTTATAATCATTGTTTTTGTCTTCTTTTGATAGCTTTTAGGAAAATTTAAAATATTTCAATTTTGTTTAGAAAGGTTGTTTTGTCAAATTTTTTACATATATAAAAAACGTCGTATCTTTTATTTTGGTTGAAGTATTCAGTTTGTCATTGGCTACGTTTGTTACTTAATAGTTTTATTGTACTCCTTGGATTTGTATTCCTTGATGTTGTACTGCCTGTAGTCACATGATCTTGTCGTAATTCTTTTACTAACTGAAGTAGGTGACTTTGTCTAAATTTGACTAAAAGTAACTTCCTTATCTACATAGAATTTAAGCATTTATTTTTGCTATATTTAAGATATTAAAAAAAATTTCTTTTTATCCATACTTATTTTAATAGTATTTGAGTGTAAAGAACTCAGCACTAAAACATTTTTTTTTGTTTTTCCCTGCTTCACCGTTAGCGTCAAGTCTTCGTGTTTGAAAATGTTTGTTTTGTACAATTATATTCCTTCTTACTTGGTTGATTGTTTCAACAATTCTGGTAGCTTTCTTTGGTAATTATTTTGCCAACTTGATTGGCGTAAAGAACTTTGACCTTTTTTTCTTTATTTGTAAATAGTCCAATTCGACCGCTCACTACATGTGCTTCTAGAAGTTGATTGGCTGGTCTTTGCACATCTTTCATATTCCCAATTTAGGTAAGGAAATCAGTTCAATACATATTTGGACTGGATATCAGCTGCAAGCCAGAATTTATTTTGAAACTAATCGAGTTCATTCGCCATATACTGGGTGGTCCAATAAGCCGACCTCTCGGCTATATATCAGAAACTATTTATGTTAAAACGTTAGAAGAAAAAATTCCTTTGTAAAAGTGGCCAAGAGAAATCGCTGGAAATAAATTTCAAGTTACTGGATTAACCGGTAGGGGGCGTAACCTGCGAAGAAAACTTTGAAAACAGTTTTTTTGGAAAATATGCCCAATTATACCAAGTTTTAAATAGGTAAACTAGAAAGAGGCGTAAATTCTGCACAAAGTTGTTCAAGCACTTTTTTTTCAAATAAAGGGTTGGGGAGAGTGGGACAGTATTTGTGGATAAATCCCTATAACTTTGGTTTGGATTAACCGATTTTAACGAAATTAGTGTGATTGGAAAGAGTGTGAATAAGTTAATTTACATCTAGTATAAAATAATTGTATTTAGTTTTAATTGTCATAGGTAAAGGGTACTTTTGAATAGAGAAAATTAAAATTTGTTTTTCTTCAAAATGTTTATTGTAAACAGCTATTTATTCTAAAATATAATGAAACTGGATTAAATTCGCAACAAAATATCGCAAACCGCATGTTAATAGCTTTTGATGAACTCGAGATGTGAATAAAAACTCATAAACATAAGTAAGTAGGTATAGTATTGACACCCTGTATTTTAAATTAAATTAAAAAATAAGTCAGTAGGTACTTCCTTTTTTTTTATAGAAGAAGAATCTTAATGTTGATACCTATTTTGACCATTGTTATTTTATATGATTAAAAATAGTTTTTTCGAAACTAAGTCGGCTACGATAATGAATTTGACGGGGAGTTCATGTTGTTTATTTATTGACAACAATCAAAACATTGTTAAGAAGTGTTATATTATAATTTGAATTGAAGATTGCATTTTTTCAATAGATATTAATCATGGTAATATAAGCAATTAATTATTAGTACTAATAATCTGTGATGAGTGTATCAAATGCAGAATTGTATGATATGATTGGAGTTTATTTCGAATGTCACCAAAATGCCGCTATTGCCTCACGTATATATTCTGTAAGATATGGTTGGATATAGGTTGGTTTTCATATTATATAGTGAACGTTGAGGTCAGAAACTTGGAATTCCCTTTAAACTTTAGATTCAACTGTTATTTTAATAGTCCCATAAAAACAGCAACACGATGCGATTTTATTCATATCTCTAGTTCGACAAAAGCTATCAACATGTGGTTTGCGTCATTTTGTTACGAATTTAATCCAGTTACATTATAATTTTCAATAAATAGGTGTTTTCATTAAACATTTTGAAGAAACACAAATTTAAATTTTTTTCTATTTTAAAGTACCTTCTACCCATCACAATTAAAACTAAATGTAACTATTTAATAGTAGATGTAAATTAAATCATCCACACTATTTGTAATGACACTAATTTCGTTAAAATCGGTTGATCCAAACCAAAGTTATAGGTATTTATCCACAAATATTTTCCCACTCTCCCCCACACTTTATTTGAAAAAATAAAAAAAGTACTTGAAGAACTTTGTAAGTTTAACTAGTTTACTTATTTATAACTTGGTATATTTAGGCATATTTCACAAAAACTGGTTTTCAAATTTTTCTTTACAGGTTACGCCCCCTAGCGGTTAACCCAGAAACTTGAAAGTTATTTCCAGCGATTTCTCTTGGCTACGTTTACTAAGAATTTTTTCTCCTAATGTTATAACCTAAATAGTTTCTGGTATATAGCCGAGAGATTTGCTTATTGGACCACCCGGTACATCGATATTTCGTGTTGTATACGCTTCACTAGAATACAGTATGGATATAAATGCTTTGATTTTTTTAATCAACATTTTCCACGGTTTATCTTTAAGTTGTCTTCTACTTTTAGTAACAGTACATAATTTTATGTTAAGAAGGATGTGTTCATCAATTAACGGTCGCCATGCTCTAGCTTCAAAATATCCAATAATGCTTCTCTTAGCATGAGGCGTTGGTCCAACAGCCTCCCTTAGAATATTTTGACTATTACGTCTTTCTTAAATGAATCAGATAAATAACTATAAAGGTGTATGCTCATAAAAAATATGTAATCCTTTTGAAATAAAGCTATCCACTTTAAATAACATTTGAACTTCTAATTTTTTTGGAAAAACGCAAAAACACGTCAATTTATATTTGAAGGGGGAGACATTTTATCATATTTAAGATTGCTGTGAAATGCACCCCTAACCCTTCGTATGATCCATTAATTTTTTTTTAATTAACGTTCCCTTTTTTATTTTATCTTT